TGCCACGCCTCGTCGCTAACGTCAACGCCCTCAACGGTGCCAGTCTCTGGATCACAAGATACTCCAGAATAGCTAGTATACTTCGCCCAAGCCAAGTACCTTTTCCTCTCGGTCTGGTACTTGTCAGCAACCTTGACCTCCGTCAAGTGCGCCGCTTCCTCCCCCCCACGCCGCCCGCGCCAGATCGAGCACCCGCTGCCACGCCAACGTCAGATTTGGCTTCTTTTGCACGGCAAGAAGCCCTTCGTTTTTGGCCACAAGAAACCACTCCATAACGGCCGCGGTTTTTTCCGTGTTCCACGTGAACCGCGGGGTTCGTTTGTTTGGGATCGTGCCGGCCGGGGCACGCTTCCGCTTGGTGCCACCCGGTGCCGCAGGAGCGTCGCCGGTAAACAACGCGAGGGTGGCCTCGTTGGCCTCGTTGGCCGGCCGGGCCGGCAGGGCGAGGGCGGTGGTGGCGAGGGCGGTGGCAGCGAGGGCGGCCTCGTTGGCCTCGTTGGCCGGCCGGGCGAGGGCGGCGAGGATGGCTTCGTTGGCCGACGTAGCCTCGTTGGCCGACGTAGCCTCGTTGGCCGACGTAGCCTCGTTGGCCGACGTAGCCTCGTTGGCCGACGTAGCCTCGTGTTGGGAAGCCCAAAACGTGGATATCCGTGAGTTCATTTTGACAGTTTCTGACTTTTTTCTGACGATAACATCGAAGGGATCAATCTCGCTGGTGCCTAACCATACAAACTACAGCCAGACAGGCCAGCCCGACCCTTGCCCCCTGTGGCGGGCCAAGAAACGCACAGACGATTCACAAAAAGATACATCGGCCACCCCGGCCATTTTTTGTGCGCCAAAAAGTACCAAATTAACCGCGCTCATGCGTTAACCACGGTTATCTCTTGAGCGTGGTTAATTTACGATCAGGCCCTTAGGAGCACCCGCGCTGAGTCGGCCCTCCGGGGATCAGCGCGGTACAGCAATCTGTCGTTTTCTGGGCAATCTGTCGTTTTTTAGGAACATTGCTTCCCATAGAAAATTAGCGGTGAACCAATGTACCGCAAGACAGGGGTGTGAAACGCTCAACTGCAACCCGCGCAAGTATGCCCCTCTCCTTGGCAGTTGCGTGGGATTATTCTGCTGCCTAGGTCCGCCTTACCCCGCTAAATGCACCAGATAAGTTTTCGAATGGAATCGAGAAGCCCCGCCCAATGTTTCCAAGCATCGTCACATTTTGTTCTCCCGCGACGTGCGTTCACCCGCTTTCTGTGTGGCATCTACCAAACGACACAACAGGCATCAACCAACCAAAACACGCAATATGGCGACATCTTTTTCAGATAACGAATACCAACGCCAACTAAGTTTGGTCAAGCTGCTTGATCCGGAAAAGTACTATCCCGTCCTCGAGTTGCTCTCTTCGTACTTGACCATGGCCGACTCGTTGGCGTTGTGCCGGGTGCGCAAAGGACTCGATGGACCCAGGAACTATATGCTGAAGAAGATTTCAGCATCAACATCCACCTGAAGGACTTCGTGGATAACCCTACCATGCTCCGATCCCAACTTGGGAAGTCTGTGCACCACCATCCTCAGTTCAGCCAGCCCGCCGCCCGTTCCTCCGCCACGACACAACACAGCAATAGAAGAACACTATTGCCCACCTTCATGTCCCCTCATCACCAACCCACGAGGCCAGCGGCTAGTGACGACGCTACGCTCAACGCCGTTCGCGGACCATCCTTGCCACTTCTGGCCGCCAACGTAGCAGCTTGCGCACTGAAGCCCTCGCCAGTAAAAAGTTAAGTCCCGTCGTCAGTCCCCTCTCAACCCGTCCCCCTCAGCCTCGGGAACCTCCTGTCGATGTCCGACAACGCATCGCAAATAGCGCAGTACCGCATGGGATCACCTGGCCTATTCTTCCAGAACCACATCGGCTTGACGGCCCTGAGCCGCGGGCGGTCGCGATCCTCTGGCGCCAGCCGATACAGCACCGCCTCCATGCCCTTGGTTGTCCACAGGCGCTGGAGAACCGTCACCCCCTGAAACGGGACTAGCGAAGGCAGGACGGAGGCGTACGCGAGCATGGTGGCGCTGATCCCCGCCATTATGGCCGTGGCGACTGACGACCCGGGTTCGCAAACCTTCGGGTAGGTGGTCCTGAACTCCTCGCGGATGGCGGCCGGGATGTCGTCGCCGTACGTGCCGAGCACGGCGGCGCCATTGCCTGTGCTCGCCGAGTTCGACTGCAAAAAGACCCCGTGGCAGTTCGTCGCGTAGACGGATATGACGGAAGGATGGCGGGCCGGGAAGCTCTCGTCCTCTGTAGAGGAGTTTCCGGCGCTGGCGAGGAATATGATGTTTTCGTTGCGCCCCTTCTGCACCGTCTCGATGGCCTCGCGTATCCCTTGGTCGTCGCTTGGGAAGCCGAAGGACATGGAGATGATGTCTGCTTTGCCGGCCTGCCCGGCCCAGAGGATTGCCTGTCCAACAGATCGTGTAAGATTTATGCGTTGAGCGGCGTTGAGGCCGGTGCTTCTCTCACCTCCTTGATGTTTGCTTGACTGTTTTTGAGCTCGTTTGTGTTTTCGGCGACACGAGCCACTAGGATTTCCACACCCGGGGCACACTCCATGATGAGTCTCGCCATGAAGGTGCCGTGGCCGAAGACGTCTGTCACGGTCGGTGTGCTCGGTGTCACAAAGTCCTTCACGTCCGTGACGCTTTTGAGTAGTCCACTCCTTTCCTGGAAGACGGGAAAGTCCCAATCGAGCCCCGTGTCCAGGATGGCAACTCGAACCGGGGTCGCAATTCGCCACTCGCGTCGCTTGCTCTCCACCTGCCGGCTGATTTTCATGAGTTCGCTCAGCCACATCTTGGGAACAATAGCGCTGTGGAATAACGCTTCTCGCTCTGGTTGCCACCGTGGGTTGGATTCGGTGGACCCCGGTAATAGACCGCTGCTGGATAGACCAAGCCGACTTGGTCTTATGCTCTCGGTTTCCGGGGTGTTGGGCATCCGCGGTCGCTTGGACGCTGGTCTGCCCCCCAGGCGGGATTTGACCGGATAGGAGCCTGCCGTGACAAAGCGTTTGCACGAACATCAGACGCATCGATGGAAGGCTCTCGCCACTCGTCTCTAATGCCGAGACGGGGCTTCGTTCGAGAGGTCGGTTCCGGGGACTCGGACCGTTGGCGTTTGTTACCGGCCCGAGGGGTGGATTCGGCGAGGGCGGTTTCGAGCTTCTCGACAACTTCTCTATAAAGTTCCTTTCGGATGGTAAGTTCCGCATCCTTTTCGTCGGCGCTACCCAGTCTTAAGGCTCTCGAAATCTGAATATGTGCCATCAGGCAACCCCTGACAGCTTGAAGGTAACTGTCATTGCGCTCCTCCTCGAGCTTGTCGACCACGTTGCACAGCTCGGCCCATATTCCTCGGTTGGTTTTGTCGTCATCAGAGCTGATGTTGAGGTCGATGCTTTGGCCAAAGTCGATTTCCAGTAGGAGCTTGGCAAATGACAAGAGGGTCGGATGCCCAATCTGAAAGACGTGGGACTCGGTTGTGGCTGGCAGGCCGGAGGCGAACGACAAGTAGAGCGTCTCACTCCGGGTCCGGGAACAAGAAGCCTTCGTGGAACCGAGGAAGTAGATTCTTTTGGAACTCAGGTTGGCGTCAAAGAAATCCATCAGGCAATAGCCGAGACGGACTGCTAACGCCCTCTTTTCCCGTATGCTATATCTTATCGGAAGAGATCCCCTCGTCAAGGTGAGGAGGTCTAATGGCTTGAAAGCACCGCTTGAGATGAGCTTGTCGAGGTTCTCTTTTGGCGGCGCCGAGGAGGGCTGTGCTAGTTGTAGGGGGGTCTACGCGCCGAAGAGCCTGTACTTCTCGAGGAGCAGGATCAATGCTTCGCCCTGGCCGGCACGATTCCTGAGGTCGAGACATATGTTTTGAATTTCTGCGACAGAGGCGTTCCAGTTCCTAAAACTGAGTCAGCCTCTTGTCGATGTTTCGTTTCTGGGGGATCTCAGGGGAACGTACGAATCGATAGAGCCACACCGCACTTGTAGCTATTGGGCGCCCGGGCAGGGGGTCGAGTCCGTACAAGAAGACAGCCTGAAGTCCAAGCTGGGAACGGCCGCGCCGTCGTCGGCGTCTTCCGAGACGTTCAACATCACTTCGTGGCCTATCCCGCATTTGAGGCGTTCGAAGATTGCCCCGAGCGCGGAAGTCGCTCGGCGGCGTAGCCTGGGGTCCTTCCAGGTCTTTCTCCCAATCTTCTTCGATACGGGACGAACCCTACCTTCCCGAGCCGGTGATGCAAAGAGTCGAGCAAGGGAGTTGTTGTAGTCAGCGACCAATGCCAGGCTTATCTCCAGGTCAACCGGGTCGTCAGGTGGCTTGAACAATGTTGGCCGTGAGCCGCTTGCCAAGTCGACCGTCTCGTCAGATTCGGAATGCTCCAGCAACCGGACAAGCGAGCGGAGGCGTGAGTAGCCGGCTTTGTTCTCCGCGGCATGGATCTGGCTAACTCCATGTCGCGGGTGCACAATCCGGTCCAGGAGCTCGCATACGCCTTTTAGCCTCTCTTCACACTCGTCGAACTCGGTCGTGGACAGGGCACGGGAGCAATCCTTTGGTAGAAGAAAGACGAGCCGCACCTCCACCTCAAAGCGTTCGGCTGCGAGGTTTGGGAGCCGAGCGTCGTGGGTTTCAGGCCTCGAATCGAGGCTGTTGAGCAGGTGGACGTTGAATCGCGACTTTCTTTGGTTGATCAACGGCCCCAGAGTCTGCAGGAGACGCCATTCATTGCATTCAATAAGGTACGGCATTGCCTCTGGAACCTGAACAGTCAGGGAAGTGGTGATTCCAATGGCAATGCGGTCGAAAATTGCGGAACAAATGCGGAACGACGATGAGATCGGAAAGCTGAGCGCCTGGCTCAATCATGCCCGCGGCAAATGCGGGGTAAACCACGTGCTTGCGCCACGCAGGATTCCCCTCTTGGCTGCAATGGTTGAAAGCCTGACTGTTCGTTCTGGACGTTGAACCTCCTCGTCGACCCCGCGTGGTTGCTGCTTTGACTCGTCTCTCTAGGTTCTTACGCCGAAGGCTGATGAAAGATTTCGAGTCGCAACATTGAAGCCTGGAATCTGCTACGGCGCACGACGAACACAATGGACGACGACGGCGATGTGTTGTATGATCTGGCTTGCGAGTGTGAAGCTCTGTTCGATACCCAAATTGCAAATCTCAGAGCGCAGACGTCTTCTCTCTCCGTGGCCGACCTTGTCGCAGAATACCAGCAAAGATTTGCAATATGGGCGGCCCATTTGGGTGTCTTTGCCCGCAAGAGCCAGTCTCTCGACACGAGACTCCGAAATCATGCCGACATACAGGATCTCGTTGCTCGCCTCTTGGGTATTCTGCAGCGCAGTCTTCACCAGCGTGAGTGCTATTATCAGGTTGTCTACCTACGGCCCCGATCCCTTGAGATCGCATGACTAACAAGCTCCCAGTGACGCGGGCCAGCGAAGCCAGTGGGGCAAACGGCCTATCACAAGTCGGAGATGATGCTCGAAGAGACGAGGCTTTGTCTGCCGTCGATGCCGCCCTTACCCGGCTGAACAGGCTCGGCGTCACGATCCGCCAATCATCCCATGACGGGATAGATGTCAAAATCCAGAAGTTTGCTGCAAGTCTTGACCTCGGGCCCTTCGCCGCCGTCTCGCAAGCCGTGGTCCAACAACTCTACCCGAACGCCCATCAATCGCTCCAGCAATATCTGGGAAAGACCATGGCGGACCGATACACCGCAATGCTGTTTAGGAAGTACCGTGACGATAAGCTGCAGTCACGGCGCCCCGGAAAACCCATTGGTTTCATGCCTACGATCGATGAAGAACGCCAAGGTGACCCAGGCCGATATTCACCTGGGCAATTAGCCAGCGGCACGAGCCAAGAAATGTTACCCAAGACTTCAGGCTATACAAACCTCGCCGGGATACCTTCTGCCGCCTCTCAATCCGATCTCTCAACTATCAACGGCCAGCGGCTGAGGTTGGCCCTACACAGAACCAACAACTTCCAGGTTCCGACGGAACGACGCCAGGGAACTTCGTCGGTCCAAGTCGGCCAGGGAAACTACCCACGGCGGCCGTCTCAAAAAGACGGCAACTTCTTCACTTGTGAATGGTGCGGCAAAATCATTGGGAAACAAGACATGAACGACAGCGACTGGAGGTGTGTCTTATAATCCCTCCGGAATCTTTCCAAGATTTCTTTGGTGTAATTAACGCTGTAGGGCCGGAGCAGGCGACATGTCGATGAGGATCTCAAGCCCTACACGTGTATTTCTGACGCGTGTTCCGATGGCCATCCGGCTTTCCCGAGCTTTGCACTGTGGCTCGCTCACATGAAAGAGCACAACCGACGTTGGCACCAGAGAGCATTCCCAACGTCCGGTTGGATTTGCGCGTTGTGTGACGACAGCCCTGAGATACACACAGGTCCAGAAGCTTTACACGGCCATCTGGTGCAAGCTCATGGAGACTTGTTCCCCGAGCCGCAGCTTCAAGCGATCGCCAGACAAAGCAAAGTGGAACGGCCGAGGCCGTGGGACGAATGCCTCTTCTGCTGCTTTAAGGTCGAGGAAGCAGAGCCCCCGCCCAAGCGCCGCAAGGAGCAACTTGTCAACGAGGCCGGCAATAAAAGCAGCAGGACGAGTTTTGCTATGAAGCATCCCAAGCCAGAGAGGGAAAACGACCAGGGCTCGGACACGTCAGACGATTCCCTCGACATACCCAGGCTCGCGCTGATTGCTGATAATGCCGAGACGATGGCGCGACATATCGCAACACATCTACAGGCGTTGATGCTGTTAACCATCCGCCTAGCCTTTCTATCCGACGATCACAGCCAAGAGACACAAGACCACGCCAACAGCGTTTCGGTTGATGCCGGGGACAGCAATGAAGCGCCCTTCACTAAATCCGCCCGGGAGTCAGCAGCAGATACTGTGTCTACCGAGGATGTCGAAATGCCAGATGCCGATGGAGAGGCGCTCGAAGCCGTGGACATGCCGCAGGTTGATCATATCCCTGACGCCGTCGTGGATTTTGATGGCGTGCCTAGACAATACGATGAACTACCGGTTGAAGAAGACGAGTTCCTGCAGGAACTGACCAAATCCGGGGCGTATCAAGCACATCTACACCGGCTCGAGCATGAAGGCTGGAACGTTCGACCCGAGAATGAAGGGGTCAATAAAACAACTCCTAAGGACTCGGAGGAAGGAGCAGCAGCGAGCGCCATCGCGGTGATCGAACTCGCCGCAAAGGTTTGCGCCCTCTGCCTTCAGTACTCTCTCGCCGTTAAGAACGCCAAGCAGGACATGGAACGGTTTCGGCAGCAAATTGAAGCCTTGAAGACGATCGCCGAAGGTGCGCAGCAGCTTCTACGAGGTCCAGATGGCGCTCGACTCGAGACTTCGCAAAATCTGCGCAACGCTCTCGCAAACACCCATTCGCAGCTCGATCCTATTCGCACGAAGCTAGAAGAGAAGCTGAACACGGGTCGTAGGGGTCAAATAATGAGACGCGTAGGTCTGCGCGCTTTGACATGGCCGTTCGAGACCAAGGATATCGACAAAATCATCACCAAGCTCCAGCGGGACCAGGATACTATTTCCGCCGCCCTACAGAGACGTAAGCGGATCTCTCAAGATCAACCAGACGCTTACACTTATCAGCCCCTACCCGACGGGACCATCCGAATTTTGACGCTATGGGGCGGAAATCCCGACGACCCGCTTACGGGGGTGCTCGAGCTCGTTGCCGTCGACGATGCCGGGGCTTACGAGCCTCTCTCGTACGTTTGGGGAGATAAAACGCTCACGCACGAGATACGCCTGCCCGACGCAGAGCTCCGCATCACATCGAGCTTATACCACGCCCTGCGACGGCTCCGATTGCAAACGGGGCCGCGGCGCGTGTGGGCCGACCAGATCTGCATCGACCAAGGCAATAAGGCAGAGAGGTCGCAACAGGTGCAGTTTATGAACCGGATTTACCGTACCGGGAGCAGCATACAGGTCTGGCTCGGCCTCGACGACCAGCATCAGGCGGAAGAGGCTTTCGGCTTTGTGCGAGAGCTGGCCGGGCTCCTCGCCGATAAGAAGCATCCTATTTTTAGGACTGCCAGCACCGACGATCTGGCCGAACAATCGGCCTGGAAACCCCTAAAAAACATAACGAGTCTCCCATGGGTTAGTTTAAATAAGCGCGAGACTTTTCGTTACCTGAAATGGGAATACCGGTACTGATTAGAAATGTTATCATCCACAGTTCCAACGCGGCTGGGTCGTCCAGGAGATCGGCACCAAAGCGCCTGCAACCCTGCTTTGGGGGAAAGCAGAAATGGCCTGGGAAGAGCTGCACTACGTGTGCGAGGAGCTCGCAGAACACCATCACCTGAGGCTCAAGTTTAAGGTGGCGACGTCGGAGATCAAGTACCTTTACCGCCGTTTCGTCGAGCCCGAAAAAACTAGCCGGCACGACAACCGCTTCAGCTTTATCTACGAGCTCCACCGTGCAGGGCACCTAAAGGTCAGCGACCAGCGAGACCGCGTGTTCGCTATACTGGGCCACTATTCCATCCGCGCGGGACGCAACAGCGAGCTGAAGGCGCTAAAGGCGGACTATTCGAGCTCGGTCGAAAAAGTTTACACCAACGTTGCCGTGAGAGCCCTGATCGGGGACGGCGAGTCTCTCATCACCCTTGGGGCCGTGCAGCATACGAAACTCTCTTCCGCGGCTGAAACTCCGCAGGGGCAAGCCGGGCATACGCTGCCGTCGTGGGCGCCGGACTGGAGAACCCACCACGGACATATCATGTCGGAACCCACCAGCCCTCACCGCGCCTGCGGCCCGACGAAGCCCAGTCTGAACATCTACGATTCAAAGGTGCTCGAAATTCGCGGGATAGAGATGGACCGGATCGAGGCCTGCTCCGGCCTGCTGCAAAAGGGGGCGTTTCACGGCCGGAAAGCCGCCGAAGGGGACAGGGCGCGGGCCGCAGTCGAGGTCCTATGGACGGACATCTGCGGGAAGACAAACGGCTTTGATATCAGCGACGAGTATGCCGGCGGGGGAATGGGGACCAGCAGCTTTTTCGCCTATACTCAAACGCTAAGCAATGGCTGCATGGCCCTTTATTGGCAGGACCACGCCCTCGAGGATTACGGCGCCGTCCCTCAGGGGAAATGGCTCGCGCACGCCGCCGCCTACCTCACCACCGTGGTGGACAGGGCGGCCATCTCTCCCGAGCTCCGCTTGCTGGCCGATCAGGGAGACGCCCAGAAATGGGGCCGTGCGGCGACCGGCGCGTCGAGCGAGCGAAAGTTTGCCCGGACTACCAAGGGGTACTATGTGATGGGGCCGGGGGTCATGGAGAAGGGCGACGTTGTCTGCGTGCTCTTCGGCGGGAAAATGCCGTTTTGTCTCCGCCCCCTTCCAGGCTCTCAGCACTACTTGCTGGTTGGAGAGTGCTATATCCACGGGCTTATGAATGGGGAGGCTGTGGACATGCTTAACAGGGGAAAAGCTCGCGAGGAGGTATTCAAGGTTGTTTAACCGGACGCTGGTCTTATGTTCTTATATGTCTCATCCGTGCCCCAACTTCATCTCGTACAGATCATTCAAAACATAGGGTATCCAACAACAACCCAAAAGAAAATGTCACAGCTCTCCCAGCACACAAACAAAACAAAGGACGGAGAGGTGTGTTTGTGGTGGCCTCTGACATCAGGCAAATCAAACCAAGACAGCATCGCTCGACAATTGCCCCCAAAATGCAGAAACCGGAAAAAGCAAACGCACACTCAAGGAAATACGAGTATAGAAAAGGGAGAGTACCCACGACGGACCATCATGATCCCGTCAGCTTCTTCCACCAGCTGCTTCTCGGCTGCGCTTCCACAAACGTCGCGGTGCGCCGGCTCGGCCTGCGCTCATCGCTGCCATCCGACACACCGCCCCCACTGCCGCCGCCTCGGCGGTCACGGTCGCGGTCGCGGTCCCGATCACGATCACGATCGTCTCTGCCCTCCTTGCGCCTCCGCCGCCGGGCGTCCTCCTCGGCAGCTGCCGCCCCTCCATCAGCGTACTTGCTTCGTCGGCGTTCTGCCCGCCGCGCTGCCCGCCGCGCCTCCTCGTCGTCGTCCGGCGAGGCGCTACCCCTGCCTTCGTCCTGGGGTGGTGGTGGTGGCGGGGGCGGGGGCGCGTCCGAGTGGTCCTTGACCCAGGACGACGTGCCAGAGTGCGGCCAGCCGTCCTTGTGTCGTTCGTCCACTTGGTGCGACTTGCTGCCGGGGTACACGCGCTCCTCCCTGGCCCGGCTCCGCTGTCGAGACTCGATGCCGCTTTGCGTACGGTCGGCCTCACGGGCTGCGCGCCGCGCCTCGTGGCGTCGTCGACGCTCTTCTTCATCCCTCTCGCTCTCGTAGCGCCGACGCTCGTGGCGAGACAGGCCAGCGTCTTCGGCCTGTCGATGGCGCTCGCGTTCTTTGCGCTGCCTCCGACGCTCGGCACGTTCGGCATCCCTCTGCTGCTCCTCGGCCGCCAGCCGCTCGGCTTCCTCGCGGGCACGATCCGCGTGTCTCTTAGCTCGGCGCGCCTCCTTCTCCTCGCGCTTCCGCGCTTCAGCCTCCTCCTCCTCCTGTTTCCGGCGACGTCGCGCCTCATCCTTGGCATGCCGAGGATCCTCCACAACCCTTTCCGTTCGGCGGGATCGACGCGCGGCACGCCTGGCCTCTTCCACATCGGTCACAGCACCCGAAGCGCCCTCGTGGTTCGTCTCGTCATCCGTCACGTACGTGCCGCGTCGCCTGAGCTCGGGACGGGCCGGTGGCGGTTCCGATCGCGTATGTTAGTCAACTGTTCCGTCAAACGGGTTAGGGCAGACTCACGTTGCAGCGCCAAACCCTAACGACCTCGTAGCCCCCGTAGATCAGGCCCGGCAGCTTTCGACTGGTGCCAGCCATGGCGAGTGGTGAGCGGCAATGCGTAAGAAGGTGAGCTAATGAGGGGCAACGAAGAAAGAATGTAAGACCAGAGACGGGAATTTTCAACCCCTTTATAGTTGAACGAATAATGGTGATAGAGCTTGTGCCCGAAAATTAAATCAGGGGTCAGGCAAAGATGACATCCCCGGTGCTGTTGCCCGAGTATGGAACGCCCGACGGCAGCGAGCTCACTCCATGGTGTAAATTGCCCGGGTTCTGTCGTCAAAATCACAAATTAGAACTTTCCGCCCTTCCCTGCTTTTGAAGCACGGGCAGGTGGTTGGGCGCATGCAAAGGCCAGGCTCAAAGCAGCTTCTATCACGGCCGCGACGGCTTAGCTGTGCTGCTAGCCAACGGATTTGGAAACTGACACCTCATCCGGCAAATGTAGCCGGCAAATGGCGAAGCCCAGGTGGTAGCGGCGGAGGCCGGGTCACCGCAGGGCAGCAAACTCGAACCAGCTGGCAGCCCGTGTTCGCTCCCTAGCCAGTGAGAGGTGGCAGGCTGCAGCCCTTCTTCGCCCCGATGCATCATCCTTGTATTTCCGCTTGCACCAGAGCGTGTGCAGCTTGGAGACCAAGTACAGCCTCGCCAGTCAAAACTTGTACCCCCATGTACTGCCTGGCAAAGGACTTACCATCGAAAACCATTGTGACGTAACAAATCGGGCGTTCGCTACCGATGACGAGACGGAGGAACTTTGGCCGGTGTACCTGCAACAGCACTTTGAGCGATGACAAGACGATAATGGGACGCTGCCAGCGTACCGCTCCGCGTGCCCGGCAGGCAACCATTTCAAACTGTGACCCTCCTTGCTTACTACTTGCACGGAAGCGATTCGTATCCTGCATTGGTGTTGGTCACACCCGGCGGTTCGGAGGTACTTGTGCCAACGTGTCTCTTTCTGCGTGGTAGGGACTGTTGTGGTATGTTGACCAGCAGCGGACCGCGACCTGAGGACCGCGCAGCTGGCTGCGGCGTCTAGTTAGACTCAATCCGCCTAGCCTCATGGGGGTGGTCCTATAAATCTACACCTGGAAGCGATGTGACCATGCAGAGACAATATTGTGGACGAATTGTGGACGAGTGTTCGGCCAATGCGTCCAGGAAGGGCCCACCCTGGCGCGTTCATGGCCTTGCTTTGCTGGCCGCTCACCGTACCGCCGATCTATGCAGCTCCTGCCTCGCGAAGCCGGCATGTTTCCAGCCGAAAACCTGGCATCCAATCACGCATCTACCTCCCCGCATGCTGCAAACGGAAAACGAAGCAGCGACACACGCTGCTCGGGCAGCCGTGATGTCAAAAAATCATCGCCAGCGTGTTTTCGAACACGTGTAT